CTAGGGTACTGTGGTGTCATCATAGCTCACTGCAACCTCACACACCTGGGGTTAAGTGATCCTCTTGTTTTTTTTTTTTTTTTTTTTTTTGGAGAAAGAGCCTCAAGCTGTCCCCCTGGGTAGAGTGCCATGGCATCCCGCTCACAGCAACCTCCAACTCCTGGGCTCAAGCGAGTCTCCTGCCTCCGCCTCCCAAGTAGCTGGGACCACAGGCGCCCGCCACAATGCCCGGCTATTTTTTGGTTGCAGCCGTCATTGTTGTTTGGCGGGTCCGGGCTGGGGATTCGAACCTGCCACCTTAGGTGTACGTGGCTGGCGCCTTAGCCGGTTGAGCTATAGGCGCCGGGCCGATCCTCTTGTTTTAACCTCTGAATATCTGGGACTATAGGTATGACACCATCCTTGGCTAATTTTTCTTTCTTTCTTTCTTTCTTTTTTAGAGATGGGGTCTTGTTTTTGCTCAGGCTGGTTTTGAACTCCTGAGCTCAAGTGGTCCTCCTTCCTCAGCCTCCCGGAGTGCTAGGATTACAGGCGTGAGGAACCTCACCTGGGCTAATTTTGTTTGTGTTGCATTTGCTTTTGGGGTCTTAGTCTTAGCCTTGAATTCTTTGCATAGGCAAGCATTTCAAATTCGTAATAGTTATCCTAAAGCCCTTGTTTGTTAATTCTGTCATTTTTGTCCTTTCCAAGTCTTTCTATTGACTAGTTTTTTTCTCTTGGCTTTGAGGGAGGGTGTCACATTTTCCTATAGCTTCACATTTCTGGAAGGTTCTGCTTGTTAGCCTGCACAGAGGTGAGCATCTCTTAGAGGGTATTAGTTTGGGTGACTGTTTCTTTTTGTTTGTTTGTTTAAATTTTGCTTTCAATCTTCTTAGTTTGAAGTTTTTTTTATTTTTATTTTCTCCTTCCTTCCCTCCCTCCCTTATTGAGACAGAGTCTTACTTTGTGGCCCTCAGTAGAGTGCTCTGATGTCATAGCTCACAGCAACCTCCAACTCCTGGGCTTAAGTGATTCTGTTGCTTCAGCCTCCTAGGGAGTCGGGACTACAGGCGCCTGCCAGAATGCCTGGCTTTTTTTATTTTTATTTTTTTTTGGTAGGGATGGGGTCTCACTCTAGCTCATGCTGGTCTCAAAGCTCTGAGCTCAGGGCAAGTCCACCTGCCTCAGCCTTCCAGGGTGCTAGGATTACAAGGGTGAACCACCACACCCAGCCTGATGCCTGTTTCTTTTAATGGCTGGATGTGTGGTGTGCAGGGTGCCACCTTCTTGTGTGTGTGTGTGTGTGTGTGTGTGTGATGTTACAGGTGAGTTGCTCTGTTGGTAAGAAGGTCCTAGTCATCCAGTCATGTTGATTCATACCTGTAATCTCAGCAGTCTGGAAGGCTGAGGATTCCTTGAGGTCAGGAGTTCAAGATCAGCCTAAGCAAGAGTGAGACTCCATCTCTACTAAAAATAGAAAAATTAGCCAGGTATTTTGGCTGGAAACTATAGTTCCAGCTACATGGGAGGCTGAGGCAAGGGGATCACTTGAGCCAAAGAGTTTGAGGTTCCTATGAGCTGTGATGCCACATCAATAGAGTAAGCCTCTGTCTCCAAAAAAAAAAAAAAAAAAAAA